ACGACATGAGCATCGCCAATTTCTTGATAATGTGACGTACTATGCGAAGTCGTTTATCAAGCAAATGTAATCAAATTTAAGGATGCTTCTTTCCCAGACGTGTGTGGTGATGAAGCGTTTCATTCACTTGCTATTATTCTTTGTATAATTGCCAGAATTCAAATTGCATAAATAAGTTAGTGCTCTTCTGGGGTGAAGGTTTCTCATAAATGAAATAGATTTGTCAACTGCTATTTTTAAATGAATTTTGTTACAATTGTGCCCCTATTATTCATTTTTCACCTAATTTAATTTCTATCATCTCAGGTATTTTTTTTATTTTATTGAAAAGTAAAGGTTTCGTTATTGATTTAAAAATTCTTTCCAACTAAAGCTTGGTGCATGATACATGTACAACTTCAACAGGTGCGTCACATTTTAAAGAAAATGGCTGCGCCCATATCATGCTGAAAGGCATCACATCATGCCAGGAATATCTTCATTTATATATATCTTGTACATTTTCGTAAGGAATATTGTACATCAAAGGGCAGGAATACATCTCATTTATCAGAATACCTACACTTATTCTTTGGGTTTAGGTTTCCTTTAAGGATGAGTGAATATACCTATGTACTAATGTATTTAACCCCTGATTACCAGCCATTTCATTCAACTGCTATGAATAATAACAACTCTATGGATATAATCCAGTTTGCATACACTAGTTGTTGCTATATCGGGCAAGCCTCTGGAAAGCTTTTAGTTATCGAGATAACTTTGTTGTTTAAAGAGTATGCATAATAAGTAAACAGGTATGTTAATACCCTATGTGTCAATAATATACTAACAGTTAAACGATTGAATAATTTTTCATGTTATTCTTAATAGATACATGAAAGATGAAAGTTTCTGTGACCAATAGTTAAACAAAAAACTGGAAAGAACTCGGATTCGAGTAATTAATTTTTTTTCTCCAGTCTATTTTATTCCATTTTTGAGGGGAGGGGTCGGGCTCGATACTCCCTACTCCATTGGCTTTGTTATTGAGGATGTATACTCATCATCAATCATCAACCCACAGATGTGGATATTTCTTCGCCTTGTGCGAGGTACTCCAGTAAAATGTTTAGAGTAATTCACATCGGTGGATCCTTATAAGGCGATGTCAGACAGAGTCTAATTATCTGGAAAATAGCTATCTAGAAAATTTTCTGTCTGTCATCAATTATCCCGGGGAAAATCCCGCAAAAAAATCTACAACGAACCAAGAAAATTCTCCATTATCGAGAAATTTCTCTCTGTCACTTACGTAAGTGAATTATCTAGAAAGCTATTATCTAGTTAATTCAAGATGGATCGGGAAAATTGTGTCTGACACCGCCTTTATTTTGCTCACTCCCATATACATCGGTGATGCCTCGGTCAAGCTATGGACATCTTTTATCTTTATAGTTGTCATTTACATAGCCCTATATATGGGAGCAATAGAGATGCCTACATCATAACGTGATAAAGCATGCACTATATACAATACCAGAGTATAATGCTCTTCTTAATGTATTTTAGACCTACAATATTATCATTCAAAAACATTTGTGAACATAATATATTTTAAAGTTTGACATTAGTCCAGGCCTAATCTCGACCGTCATTATGCAGATCACCTTCGCTGCGCTCATCACCATCTATCACGCTGATACTGATGTAGACGTGAATCTTCGATGCAGTTAGAACAATTCACCGAATGATGATTTGATTTGATTTGATTTGATTTGATTTATTTATTTCTGTTTGATTTTCTTTTTCTTTTGCAGTTTTACAAATATATAACAAACAATTCAAAAATAAATATTAAAGAGAAAGAAAAACTATATGGAAAATGAATTGCGAAGAAAAAGAAAACAAAATCTTAAGGAAATATCGTATAGGTCTAAGTATGCTTTAACACTCAATCAGATTTTTAAACTGATATGAAAGACGTAACATTCTTTGTTTCAAAATGTATTAATAAACATTACGTCATAATTGACCACGTGAATGTACTGAGAAGTTCATCTCTTTCTTTTAGTTTTGACTAGACGAGTGTAATGACATTGGGAAATTGATCGTTCATGAACCCATGTTATCAGATCAAATGTTTTCATGTTCGTCGTCATGGGGCAGCTCAACTACAAAGTCGGATGTTTTCCGTAGGAAAAGGGCGCAAAATCGCAGGGAAGATGGGGGTTGCCAAAGCTTTCTCGTGATTCAGTTACGTATTACATGTATTGAGGTGATTGAACTTGTAATGACTCTTTAGAATGGGATTTCAATAAGTACGATTTTAGCAACATTTCTTCAAGGTAACTTTTGATGATCAAAAGAAAGAATTTAAGATATTTTCGTTATACTTTGTCCAGCTTGCACCTTGCACGGGTCGAAATATACCCCACGTATTGTAAATATCTTATACTGATCAAACTAGGGGAAATCTTTAAAACAGCTTGACTCCAATATACATCGATCTTCGCATAAGCATTTTGATATTCCCAAACCCTCGCATTCAAACTGATCATAATTATCGGCGTTTATCGCGTTTACCGATGAGCATCTGTTTAGCGCCAAGCAGCTGCGTAGTTTGTTGATGTGTTTTCCGACGGCTTCTTAATCACTGCTCTGCATCACCACTGGCTTTGATGTCCGCATTTCTTCTTTGGCCTCCGACAACGAGCGACTCACTGCCTCCTCTTCAGCGCCGCACTTCTTCACTTCTCTTCTCGCCCGAGATCATCATTATGATCATCATCACCATCACGAGCGTCAGCGTCGTCATCGCGTTTCTTCACGGCTCTTCAGCCACGCCAACGAAGTCGCGTTTCCGCCTTCAAGCCTCCGTTTCATCATCGCGTGACTGAGCCCCTTTCCTCGTTCATCACTCGATCGTCATCATTTCCATGGAACTTTCGACGTCATTCCTACTTTGTCGTAAGCTTAATTTATTCACTGCATTCATTCATGTCCATCTCATTTAGTACATGACCATTTAATCTCCGTGCAATCATTTCTCATTTCTCATTAATTTCATTCTTATTCCGAGTCATTCATATTGCCTGACTACACTTGCAAGTGTGCAGTTTATACCTCAATAAAATAACGAAAAGGGAATACTATTTATCATGTGTTTTATTGTCCGTGCAACCTTGCTTCCTCGTAGCTAAAATAAAAATAGAGTTATTTGGTGTGATTAGTGAACACGCAAAACAATCACATTTACACTGAAACACACACAATTAATTCTACACACTAATATTTGTCACGAATATCATGCAAGATCAATAGTTGTATGATGTAGAAGAAATCTACTCACTTACATTTTGAAACTACTCTCGGTGTCATTTCTTCTATTCGCTCTCTAAACACCCCCACCCCACATCCTCCGTGACTCTGTCTATGTACGACCATATACGAAATTAGTAGATCATTGATTGTTTGTTTACCATAACATTAATCTCGATGAAATTGAGTATTGTAAAAAGCATCCCGTGATTGTCATCCCGTTCTCGCTGTCTCCCACGAGTTTGGATTTTGAATAGGGACGAGCTGTCGTATATTCAGCCTTTTCACACACAGCTAAAATTCATCGTATCTAGAGCTGATTAGTTTAAAGCTGTTAACTCAACAGCTTTAAAAAGCTTTAAAGATTTTTTTCCCTGTGTGAACGTCGTTTATACGATGTTCGGACAGATACAAGCAGCCTTTTCACAAACTAATCAGCTTTAAAGAATTTTACCCGTGTGTGAAAAGGCTGTTAGACTTACTATCATGTTGTATTTGTTTCCTTTTTATTTGAAAAGAAAAGGCGAACAACAACAAATTGTAAAAAGTATTAGGAGTAATCATTTTCATCCCTGCATTATATTCCAGAAGAGACATTTAGTAGTACGTTAATTTATGCCATTCCTGGTTATTGTTATCTTTACTCTTGCACTCTACTTACAATCTATTTTACACTATAATCTTAAAATCTGTTATCCCATGAATAACAAAAGTATTGAGAATGATCCTATTTGTTTGGATTTAAATCAATACAATTTGAATTGAAGTGAATTGAATTGAATTTTATATCCCCTTCATTATAGCCCCATTCCTTAAATCCATCTGTCGAACCTTCTCTGTCACCATAAATACACATGCTCTATTTTCTTAATTTTTCATTTCCCCCACGATTTGATTGAAACTTTGATTTTCCTAATAATCATTTGGCAGAGAGCATGCTGTTAATAAATTCAAAATATCTCTGTCATATTCTCCCAGGCCATCTTAAACGGTAACATTATGTAAATCTACCATTTAGAAAAATTGGTCACTCCGCGGCCCTTTCAAATGATGAATTACCACTTAAGTATTAAAAGTACATGAACACCAATATGACTCTAGAGGTTTAATAATATTTTTTCTTGGTGGAACCAAGTGACAATGTTATGAACTACTCGACAACGCTGGGCTTTCAAGTCGCACCGACATGACAAGATCCCTTGCTTAGATTTTGAAATCTTAAACTGTTCTCTTTAGGTATAGGTACCCGGAATGATTGCTGATAGACATATATTTGTAATAATGTTTTAATCGTAGTAACTCTGTCTCTATACAGGAATTCATACGGTATTACAGCTCTTGGTTGCTGTGCTGGCTGGCTGGAAAAGAGGGGCAAGTGCACTCGAAGTAAGTCATTGATTTAGTTGGAAATATATGAAATGTAATGATATACAAGTCATGATGTATCTTTATGCATTATGCTCATATAAGTTATGTCATCTTTTTTTCCTTTTTTTTGCACATATCACACGATAACCAAATGCTCTAAGATGTTGATACCTACTTTGATAGAAAAATAAGGTTTAAGAAAAAAAAGGAAAAATACTAGAAGGGAAAAGGAAAGAAAGAGTAAAGAGGGATAGAGGACGGTAAACCCCAAACAAGTGACTCTGAAGATCAACCCCAGAATCCTCTCATCGGCACCAGAGTTGCCTAGGGCAATGATGGCCGAGAAGATTGTGCAATGTACCGCGCCGGTCTGGCAGGAAGGTGCCAATTGTGGTGAGGGGTTTTCATAGACCAGTGGATCTGAGATTATATTATCAAACAAACAAAAGCTATGATTTTAGAAGAGTACGAATTTACAAATAGTAAAAAAAAAAAAGTGAAAGGCGTAAATATTCTAAAAAAGAATGAAATGCCGATAATACCAAACAACAACAACAACAACAAATTTATTCAAATTCAAAATGAATATTTTTAACGACAATTAAAAAAATCGTGGACAATCATTCTTTAAATGAATAAATTTGACAACAATTAAAAATAAAATAAATTTATTACCCTCTCTTCTGCCATTCGATATTTTTCAAGAGGGGGAGGGGGAGCACGTGCACCTGGAGCTATGCTGTGATAATTTGTCTAAATTCCGCTCCTTATAGAACAAAAATGTCACGTATCGTCATGAAATTGTTTTAATTTGTTTTTTATTCAAAAATGAGCCATCAGATGCCGTCCCGAGGCCGGAATTGGCTTCCTTTCATATGCACCTCCACCATTATGAATCTACTGGCAATCTTCAAACAAGTACCTGTTTATTTTCATTGAAATCAATTTTAAACTATAAAACTTGCGTGGTGATAATTCCGGATGTTTAACAACCAAGAAAGGAAACATCTGACTTGTCACCCCAGTCCTATTGTCGGATTGTTGGAGAGTGATAAAGTGTTTATGGTAATTTCCTTCCTTGGCTAGAGTACTGGATCATTGTCAAGAAGTTCTTTTAAAATTGATTTCCCACTCAAATCACATGGAATATCTAAGGCAACCAACGTTTTTTTAAAGCATTAATTAACCTTGATTCGTTATTTGTTTATCCCATTTCCCCTTTCGACTCTTTAGATTGCTATTATAAGTTAGAATTATGTTCACGTATTTGATGAAAATATGCCATTTCCCTTGATTAATGGTATTATAAAATTCTGTTAACTTTTAATTTATTTAATTGCAAGAAGGATGCAGAATAAACAATCTTAATATCGATAAGATTGTATCGTAAGAAAAAATCAGTAAGTGCAAAAATGTAGTTGATTTGTATTAAATTTTTTCGTCGTTCTTTGTTTTATCTTAAATTGCTTATTACTTATTTCGATACTCGCTTATTTTTAAATCAATATTCAGGTTGCATCATTGGATCTTCAAACTGTTCCTTTTAGGGGGCAGGTAACACGAGATGACTTTACAAGTTTCTAATTTCATCCTCATAACATCTCGATTAATAATAGCTTACATTTATAATGCGCCTAATACTTTGTTTCTAGGCACAGCACTTGTTATTACCCTGGTCATCGGATTCAAGCTTACCCGCACACATTGTAAGCACATTATCCATTCCCTGTGGAGCATTCCGGCCAGTCGCCATTTTACAGGCGCCACTTGCTCATCCAAACACATTAAATTTCACATCATAACGGGTACCCATTTAACACCTGGGTGGAGAGTGGCAAATGTAGATTAAAGTCTTGCCAAAGGACATTAGTGCCGCGGCGGGACTCGAACCCCGTACCTTGCGATCTTCAGTCGGGTGACTTATCTACTAGACGACAACACTTCTAAGGACGCCCTTGGATAGTATACATTACCATTCTCTTGATTTTCTGTGTAGAATGTCCAAAGAATACATGGGGTGTTGGTTGTGCTACCACATGTGCCTGTAACAAGAAAAATTGCAAATGCAACCGAGCAACTGGAAACTGTTCGTGTAACAAGGGCTGGAAAGGGGCAACCTGCGAGGAGGAATGCGACGCTCAACACTATGGCAGAAACTGTAAACTGGTAAGCCACCATTCCGGGAGTTACTTATTAATTCCTGTTAACAAGATCACATAGACTTTCAAGAAATCAACTTAAGGGTGAAATTTATTACTCCATTTTGTTGCCTGTATAGAAATCATGTATGGATTACGTCTAATGTCATTGCCGCGTTCACACATTATGATCAGGTGACGCACAGAGCTTTTGAAATGGCCTAAGGTTGTTTGTTTGTAAAGTCTTTGCAATAACGATTGTTATTCATCATTCATCATGAGTACTTTATTAAGTTCATTTCACTTGTCATACTAAGATCTTTACGAATGTTTTTAATAAATCAATGTGTTCGTCCATCATGTTCTGCTTGCAGAAGCGGATCCTTTAAAGGATACTGTTTATCATACCTTTTTTTATCGTGCGCTTCTCATTTATACTTCTCCATTATCTGATCTCATATCATTTGTAAAGCCTGATTATATAACTGTCTCTTCAGCCATGTATAAAGCCAGAATAATTTAGTAAAATTATGTATGACAATATTGGTTAAAGGGTAAACCGTCAAATCCGTATAAATCAAATCACATCAAATCAAATTAACGGTTTTAAAGTGAATGCTGATTTGACAACGGAGATTACCTTCTATTGTTTATAGTGACTGGAAATACGAACCGTACTTAGTCCATTTCATGCATTACAAATCAGTTTAATGTCATAGATTTCAACACTGTACACATGGCCGACTGATGGATTATCATCATAATCTAATCAAAATCTTAATTGTGTATGATTCCACTTCCCAGACCTGTACCTGTCAGAATGGCGCCACATGTAATCGTTGGTCAGGTGCTTGTACCTGTACTGCTGGTTGGAATGGCAAGTCATGTGATCAACCGTGTTCTAATCACCGCTACGGAGTGGGTTGTCAACAAAGGTAACTTATCTAATTAATATGAACATAATCAATCATTACGGATCTTTATTCATTACCATGAACCTATTATCAGGAGAGCTTTTTAACTTCCTCGATTCCTTCCAGTTGTCAAATACCCTTTTTTATTACCCATTACTCGAATCTACGGGTCCCCATTTGTATCCCAGCCGCCAGATAGTCCAAGCATCGGTCAGCATGCGATCGGATTTAACAAATCTCTTTTTTCATGGAAACAAACCACAGGGTATAGGCAATTTAGGTAGGACTATCAAGCTCTAGCTGACAATAATTGTGTTTCTACCCCGACTCTACTCTATACTGAAAGTGGATCATTTAATGATTACTTAATTTTTCTAATTATTCCGATTTCAGTTTAATAACCACCATGGAAGCTATATCACTGGTAATTGCGCGAATAATTAAAACACTAGATTTTAACATTTATAGAGGTTAGCATGAATCAAACAGTTTGATCAACTTTACATTATTTTGTCTTTCAGATGCCGTTGTGCGAAAATTGCTCTTTGTGATCCTGTAGATGGCTCTTGTACGTGTCGCAACGGTTTCTCCGGCACACTATGTGATAAAGAATGTCTTTGTCCAGACGGGTCACCATGCCAGTCTGATGGTTCTTGTGCGTGTGAACGAGGCTGGACAGGACAAAGATGTGACCAACCATGCCCTCTTGGTACGTTCGGAACTGGGTGTTCACAGGAATGCCTATGTCAAAACGGAGCACACTGTAATCAGACAGATGGAACCTGCACTTGTTCATCAGGTTGGATGGGGGAAGTCTGTGATGTTGGATGTCAGGAGGGGTATTACGGACTTGACTGCAGAGATGTGTGTTCTTGCGTTAACGGTGCGAATTGTAGCCACACCAGTGGTTCATGCTTTTGTGCACCAGGCTGGATTGGAGAGACATGTTCTGAGATGTGTCCAGATAACTTCTTTGGCGAAGGTTGTCGGACGGATTGCCTGTGCCAGAACGGAACACATTGCCATCGTAAGGATGGTCACTGCGATTGCAGTCCTGGGTGGACGGGTGATCTCTGCGATGAAAGATGTCCACAAGGTTTATACGGAATGAACCGTGAATATCGATGCTTGTGTGAAAATGGAGCTGAATGCAATCATGTCGACGGCACTTGTTCATGCCTGGCTGGCTGGCGAGGGCAATTCTGTAAGGATACCTGTGCGGATGGTACCTTCGGATTGAACTGTGAGAATGAATGTCAGTGTTTCAACGATAGCGCATGTGACCCTGTTTCCGGGTCATGCAGCTGCCAACCTGGATGGACTGGGGACTTGTGTACTGAGGTTTGCCTGACAGACACCTATGGATTAGGATGTACTGTGGAATGCAGATGTCAAAATGGAGGCACCTGTTTTCATGTGGATGGATCATGCATGTGCGGTAAAGGTTTTATTGGAGAAACATGTGAACAAGAATGTCCAGAAGGGTTCTATGGGCTTGAATGCTCACAACAGTGCCAATGTGAAAATGGAGGAACATGCAACCACATAAATGGCTCATGCACGTGTACTGCTGGTTGGATAGGACTAGATTGCAAATCCCCTTGTGGAGACAGCTCCTTTGGTCTACAATGCCGGGAAGTTTGCGCCTGTCGAAACAATGCTTCGTGCAACCATATCGATGGGAGTTGTTTATGCCAACCAGGATGGATAGGAGATTTGTGTGAAAACAGATGTCCAGAGGGACGTTACGGCAATGCTTGTAAGCTTCTTTGTGGTTGCACAAGTGGTGGATTGTGTAACCATGTTGATGGTTCATGTAATTGGTTTCCAGGTTGGACTGGCGTGGCATGCAGTGCACGTTGCCAAGATGGATTTTTCGGACAAGACTGCCGACAGTTATGTCAATGCCAGAATGATGGCACATGCGATCACATCGATGGAATATGCACTTGTAAATCTGGATGGACTGGGGAAGTGTGTGCTGAAAAGTGTCCAGTAGGATCTTATGGGAACGAATGCCTGCAACAGTACCAGTGTGTTAATAGAGGAACTTGTCATCATGTTAGTGGAGCTTGTTCCTGTGCTCCAGGATGGCAAGGTGTCACTTGTGCTGAGCCCTGCAACGAAAACTTCTATGGACAAGACTGCCATGAGCGCTGTCAGTGCCAGAATGGTGCCACATGTGATAATCTAGATGGGTCCTGCCTTTGCGGACCTGGATGGATCGGGGAGTTCTGTGAACAAGCGTGCCCTTTAGGACTTTTCGGATCTGGTTGTTTACAACAGTGTCGATGTGCAAATGGTGGAAGTTGCAGTAACATTGATGGGTCTTGTTCTTGTTCTCCGGGTTGGACTGGACAGCTTTGTAATGAGAGATGCAGAGAAGGATTCTTTGGTCATGGATGTCATTAAATATGCCAATGCCAGAATGATGGTACATGCGATCACATCGATGGTTCATGTACTTGTGAACCTGGATGGATCGGAGCCATATGCGATGAAAGGTGTGTTCAAGGTTTCTATGGCCAAGATTGTCAAGAAACATGCTTGTGCCAGAATTACGGAACGTGTCACCATGTCATTGGATTCTGTATTTGCCAATCTGGATTCATCTTAACATCATAATCGGGCAGCTGGGTGTAATATTCCATCTACATATCCTTTCTAGTACCATAACTACGAAATACTTAACAATATCATCGTACTTCTATTCCAATGGTTTGCTCCCTCGCCTCGTTTACTTCCAAAAGTATATTTAATGGAAACTTGATAGTCAGGCCCTTGGCGAAAGTGTGCCACTACACCAATATTTTGTACTTCCTCTACTTCTTTCCTCTCATCAAGCGCGTAGCCAGGATTTTATTTTAGGAGGGGGGGGGGGGGGCGGGGCGGTAGTGAGCACGCAAAGCGTGCGAATCACTGACCAAGCTCGCATAGCGCGCTCCCTAGGGGGTGGGTGCAGGGAGGGGGGGGGGGGGGGGAGTTTTCCCCCTCCTTTTGCGAAGCGCGAAAGCTTTGACGTGTCATTAGATTACTATAGAAAGAAAGCGATCCGTTGTACCGTTCTCGACTCTTAATCCTTTTTTCTTCCTACTTCCTCTTCCTTTCTTTTTTTTCTCTCTCTCTCTCTCTCTTTTTTTGGCCGGCGTTTTGTTGGGGGGGGGGGGGGGGGGCGACCGCCCCCATCCCCCCCCCCCCCTGGCTACGCGTCTGTCTCTCATTACCTTCTTCTGTATTTGGCAGACCTCTACGTTGCTGCTGTTGAGACCAAAGAGCCAAGTTCCAAACAAGACCAGTTAGGAGTGATCACTGGTGTCACTGTTGGGAGTGCTATAGTGATATTTGTTGTTGTTGCAGTAATTGCCTACGTCATTCGACGGGTAAAGCACCGACCACCACAAGCAATTAACAGGTGTGGTATCAAACATTTGCACCGGGTTTATTTTGCTAAAAATAGAGAGTTAGGGTTGAAAATGGTTTTCATGTTAGGTTAAGGATTGGGGTTAGATTTAAGTATAGGTACAGTGTTTGGTCCAGGGGCTGAAGTTGGGAAATCGAGAATCATGAAAGTAATACGAAGTAAAGAATGAGAAAACAATAGCTGTTATCAAATAGGTTGAAGGGTGTTATTTTTATCATTTGGACTTATTCCCTTTTTGCTCATAGTAGAAGCACACATTGGACACATTTACATGCGAAAGCTTCCAGGTTAGCGGTTCAGATTTAGATATTGCATCAAGCCGACAGGGAAGCAGTTTAGCTGTTAATTAATTTTAAAAGCACCTTATTCTATTTGGTATGAGATCAGTTACAAGTGAAAGCATTATTATCTAATACATATTTTCTTTCTTCCTCATATTCAGTGTTCCAAAAGCCACTGATGGTCGTTCTCATCGGGTAGACATTAATGGTGATAAACTAGACGTAATCAATCAAAACTTATTAGGTTAGTTATTTGAAAGAAACGATTCCCTCGTTCAGTGTACACTAATATAGCTACACCCTTATTTCTGATAATGCGGATGGATGTGAGGATATCAAATGAGTGCATTAGCGCCATCTGCGTTTGAGAATTAGAAGTACATGTATTTTAAATCTTTACATTTAAAGGTTTTTTTTCTTTCTTCTTCTTCTTCTTCTTCTTTTCTTTTTAATCATAAAGATCAGTTTAATTTGGTTGCATTCCGTAACATGCTGAAATATTTATTGTGAATGGCTGCCGCCAAAATTGATTGAGTGATAGAATGTCTTCTATGGGGCGGTGAAAAGCTCTTGCACATCTAAACCGGCGTAAGTGGTGGTAGAGGGTGGGTAGAGGTTGCAGAAAAGCTTGAAATGACATTTTATTTGGGTAACCATCATCTTTTTTTTCAGCTAGGTGTTTTGTTAGTAATGTTTAATCATAAATGTATACACGTTGGATGACGCTACATCATCAGAGGATGTCAATTAAGTAAACTATAAACCATTCAAAATGTGCTCGCTCGCTTAATTCAACAAACATACCCCCCCCCCCCAAAAAAAAATACTCAATGATCATCATTGAGTATACTCTGAACATTTTTCCTAGAGGTGTCGTGGACGAGTGGATATGTCACCGGACTGTGGATCACAAGGTTCGCGGTTCAAGTCCCACCGCGGCACTAATGTCCTTTGGCAAGACATTGATCTACATTTGCCACTCTCCACCCAGGTGTTAAATGGGTACCCGGTAGGATGCGAAAGCTAATGTGGTTAGATTAGCAAGTGTGCGCTTGTAAAAAAAGACGCCTGGCTGGAATGCTCCCCAGGGAGTGGAGAATGAGCATACATTGTGTGCGGGTAAGCCTGAATCCTATGACCGGGGTAATAATATATACATCTGTAAAGCGCTTTGAGAGGGCCTCCGGTCCTGAAAAGCGCTATATAAGAACTAGCTATTATTATTATTATTATTATTAATCTACATTCACACAACCAGCGTTAAAGCTGTCTCGTTTTCTTACTATTCAGACAAACCGGGATCGCAGTCGGATTGGAAGTCAACATCGAATGGTGATACGGGAGAGACACGACAGCAGTACTTGGAAGGAAGCGTCGAGGTCATCAGCGTTCGTATGCCAGAGAATGACATTGTCGAGCGGGAATCCAGCTTATAATATCCTGCGAGTCATTGTGTGTGGCTGCTTTAAGCATATATTTAAAAAATATGAAAATAATGCCAAATCGTTTGTAGCTCCATTTTGCTCTCTTATGCTTTTAACAAATTCGATCCACATTGGACCAAAAGATTCCCTGTGGAAATGTGCCCTTCTTATTTTCATGCACTGTAAGCGATGAGAGAAAACACTGTTTTTCAATCCGTATGATTGTCTCGCCCTCTAGGCGATTACAATAACTCTGCAGCGGGATAATCCATGCAACAATGCTTTGCTACTTAATAATATCTTGTATAATTTGTATAATAATCATGATGAAAACTGTCTGTTTAGTTAGTTGCAGTCCATTAGATGATTGCAAGGTTCATACCAAAGGAATGTTAATACATTTAGTTGGCTTGTTTTCAACGTGATACGATAACCCATCCTACCATTCTATCATTGTTGTTTTCGTTGTTATTATGTTCATATATATATAGCAAGCACAAAGTGCTCAATATCATTGCAATGTCAGCTCGGAAGGTTTGATATCATTACCGAGTTCTTTATTTGTTGTTCTTTGCTTTTATAGGGATGGGTGAGGCAGATATCTGTTACAGCCCTCCTCGAAAAATATCAGTTATTATGAAAAAAACTTGAGTTATTTCCAACACCTTTGGTGTAGCTTCAGGGGGCACTTGCCCCTCCCCAATATGTGAAATATCAATATCAAGGAAACGGAGTTAAGTCTTTTGTTAATTCCGTTGGTTGCTACGGCAGGCAGCCAGTGAAAACGAATTCGTTTAATGAAATTATGGAAATGCAAGCACTACTTTAAACAAATAGAACTTTGTTATTCCTAGCTCATTTTTCCTGACTAAGGGGTCATATGAAAGGGCAAAAACTCTACTTTCTAGAAATGTGATTTTTTCTTTGAAATTCAGAAACCGTCCGCCAAATAACTTTTTGGTTTCCTCTCTTCAAATTCATTTTTACCACTCATGCGTGAAATATGCATTATATGAGTTGCATCAAATGAAAGAGGAGGATCTAAGCTTTCGAAACATGTGTCATTTATCAATAATAATTGTGATTAAGTTATAATTAAACATCGATAATTCTCGGTTTTGTTTTTTCTGGGACGCACTGTACATCCATATCTCCAAGCTAGTAAATGTCTTTTTTATACTATTGCCATTTTGTAGAATAGCATGTGGTAAACATGATGTGTCTATCTACGAGAAAGTGCAGATATCAGGCTTATCACAAAGATGCTTGTAAATATTTTGTTTATATTTTATATTTTCCGTATAAAGGTGAAGAAGGGCGGTAATTAGATATTGCTGTACTGTTCGTGTCATTTACGCAGTCTTTAAGTGTTGATGCTCAGGTATATACGTAAATCATGTTGCTTTCCTCAACTTTATCAGTAATTTCTGTACATTATAGTTTACTTGGTAATTGAAAATTGTCATCAAAGTATGAGTTTTATATGTTTTGCATCTGTATGATTTCAAACACAATGCGAAATGGATGAATTTGAAAAAGAGAAAAAGAAATTGTGACGACTTTTGTTTGATTGGAATGCACACAAGGAGACAAAGACAAACTTCTTTTATAAGAAACAGGCTATATAGAATTTAATCATTGTTAAATAAAATTGTATTTACAGTATAAAACAAAATTACAATAAAAGTTTTCTTTTGAAGAACATTTGCAATCTATGTACAATTACTGTTTGACCTTGTCCTTCTTATTTATGTACAATAATCATGCTGCATTTCTAACATACAGGTATAGTTTGTTATATTTTTGAATTAATTATTAAAATATTGAACTAACTGAGAATTACCACACTTGTGAAATTATGCTCAGCGACCATGATTTAACGGCTATGCTATCATAAAAAACATCCACGTGTAAGATTTTTTATTTTTTATTTCATGAATTGACGACGATCTTATTCTATACTCGAGTAAAAATAAATTGCACATAGTTTTCATACCCTTACATAACATAGAATATAGAATACTCCAAACAACAAATATTCAAATTAAAAAAAAACTATCGGCAGTTCATAAACATTTGAATTCCATATGACGATATTTTATAGTCAATGTACACTGATCTTCAAAATGGACACAGATTTGGAGATTACATTTATATCAATATAACATTCACGTTCATGCATATTCAAGTCTTGTTCATCCATAATATTCCAGTACATGAACACATATTCAATTTTGTCATTACACTAGACGTTAATACCCGATATCTATCCAATTGTTTGTAATGCAACGTTTAGCCCAATTTATATGAAGGAAATCGATAGAATGAATTTATCAAGGCTCATTTTTTTCTGAATCGGATGCATTATTTGCAACTGGGACAAAATCTGTAGTTACAAGGTTAAGTCTTATGTTACGTTTTAGTCTTCACTCTTAACTGTTTTTCAATCATATTTCAAATCATTCTCACATTTATTGCCATATTAATTTCTGCAAATATTAGTAATACCTGCATAACTATATAATTCATGAGCACACCATACCCATATTCCTCCTTTCATTTGCGACATTTCCCTTATCTCTCTTGATTGAGGATCATATCGGTCATGCCTGCAAGACCACAGCATATGTATATAAATACAATTAATATCAATTGGGTCTTATTTACCAAGGGAAGCCACGTCAGTATTGATAATGCGCTTTTTATGGAAGCTGCAAATATCATTACCCCAGCATTACTATGTATACACCTGAGTGGAGTGCGATAAATTAATTTAAGCAAAACACCTTGTCCAAATATGTAAGCACCGAGCAGGATCGAACCCAAGACCTCCCGTCTGAGTGCCAAGAGCCTTCACCAACGTGCCCCACTTGGTGGGATACATTTCAAATTAAATATCGGAGACCTAAATGCTGGCTGTTAAAAGACGTTTTAAGTCTCAGCCGATAGGATTCCCTAATTCATGCTCATAGGAGAAAAAAACTGTTGTCGATTCCTGGCTTCCTCTTCGTGACGACTCTGGACACGTCCTACATAAGCGGCATATGTACGTTACTCAAACTAACTGACTGACTGACCATTCATAGCAACATCTTAGAACGGAGCAGGCCTATTCGACAACTCGAGTATAAAACGCTTGCGATGCGACAAAGGCATCCTTATTTGTAATTGTAAACTCCGCCTTGTGCATTTGCTGCACCTTAAAATCTTAAAATCTGCTTTCTTTTATAGCAGAATGCAAGATGGTTGGTTATTCATGATGCAACCTCCCCACTCTCCAAAGTCACATCAGGAGGTGCTGTAGGAACAATGTTAGTTTGCGTGACATCTACCGACATTTGCTCAACTTTTTCTGACTGAGTAGTGTCTTTGACAGTTAACTGCGTCTTGTTGATATCATCTTTCTCTTCGACACCGACATCGTCTGTCCCTTCGACATCAACGACATCGTCAATGGGTATTCTTAAATCGACACCCGACGATCTTAAAAAGTCTGCCACCGATTTCGAAACATCCGATGATGTTCTGTTTGGTGCTAGCGACAGGATGGTGCGTATTTTGCTCGGATCTCGAGGAAAGGGGATGGGTTTTCGGTTTAGACTGTTTGCTGTGCTTCTCCTGACGTCATAATCTTCCTCTACGCACTTGCCGAACTGGAAGTTGAAGAGTGATGAGGAGGTTCGAGAATGTGTTTTGTCCGAAGATGATAATAACGAGGCCATGCTACGCCGTCTCTCCTCTGCTACTCTTGTTGCTAACGCACCTGAAAGTAGATGAAAAATCATATAAAAGACATCAGTATTTGGTTTACCTACGAGCAATCAGGCGCGTACGCAGGGGGGGGGGGGGGGGGGGTTAAAACCCCATCCTTGATATTTTTTTATGTGTGTATTATGTGTGTATTTTTTAGCAACCCCCCCCCCCCCCTTTGTGGATTTAAAAAAAAAAAAAAAAAAAAAAACGAAGCAAAATACGAAGCAAAATGTCAAATTTCCAAATTTCGAGACCAAAAAAAAAAAAAAGAAAAAAAAAAAGTGTCCTCTTTACCCCCCCCCCCCTCCCCTCCACACTTATTCAGCGGCGGGCTGAGTCGTTGCGAAATTTTTGGCCCGATTTCAAAATATTAAACCCCCCCCCCCCCCTTGAAAAAATCCTGCGTACGCCACTGCGAGCAATACACATTAGAAGTAATAGTGGAGGGTTAACAAATACGAGAAGAGAACAATTTATTACTAATAAGGTACGAGAGAAAACTTTTCTGCTTGTACTGAATTAAGTACAATTTTTTTCTCAGCCTACAGGAAATCAGGCGAACGATAAAAAGTAATAGGAACGAAGAAGTAGTAGGGGTGGCTGTGAAGGAGGTATATATTAGAGGGGGTGATAGAGGTGGTTTTTGGTGGTGGTAGAGATACATGGCATTGATGGTTGTCGTGGTGATGGTGGTATAGTGAGATGGTAGAGGTAATAGCGATATTTTTCTTTTTTTCATTTTCATGTTCTTCTGAGGCTCCTTACCATTTGTCTTCGTCCTGTTTCTGTTCAAATCTAGGTTCTTCATATCACCTGCAAGTAGATCTTCTAGACGTTCACCAGTTCTAATTGAAAATGAAAACAATAAAATAAACTTTAAAATAAACTAAATACGTTAGTGAGGAACAAGAAAAAGGAGGAGAAGAAGAACAACAACAATAGCAACAACAATGACATTTGAAATGTTGCGTGAAAGATTAGATATGATCAAGGAAAGACTAGTTAAAAGAAAAATGATCAAAGTCACCCCAACATTCCCCAAAATGTAGTCTATGATTGGACTATCTTTCCCATTTCTGAAATGTCATTGACACAGTTCAGTTTTTCATATGAAGGCACATGACTTGTAATCTGGAATTACAAACATCTGTGTCCAGGCTGATTTAGCATAAATCTGATTGGAGAAATAATACCGGTTTATAAACGATTTCCATATTATCTCGAAACTCATACACGAATCCCTTTCCTATCTCTCGTTTATACTTGATGACGAATATATCTGTTTCCCTCCCGACTTTTGTCATGTCAGTGGAAGGGGGAGGTGTGAATGACAATATTAAGTAGCGGATGCCATGTGGAAACATTTTAGGGGTATTCAAGAAGATCGTTAAAGACAATTCGAGAAAAACGCAGAAAGAGTTAAACCTGGCAAAAATAAATCCGTTATTTTCTGACGCGTCAAATGCCAACCTCTTTCCAAAGAAACTCTGTCTACTGTAGCAAAATGATTAAACGAAATAAATCAAAACATGCAATGAAGGTACTTTGATTTCATAGTGACATGGATTTTGTTTGGTAATTTAGGGTCAGCATTATGGTAAATTTAAGAAATGAAAAGTTGAAACTTATGCTTAAAGGTACTATGTCCCTTTTGCAGCCAACCTCAAATTCTGTAGAACTTTGCAGGAATTATGAATATGTCATGTATGTCCTATCTGTGAAATTTAAACGTTAGCAGTGTCCTCATATTCAAATTATGCAAGGAAACCCGTTTACTTGCTAGACTTCACTGTCAGACACTATTGAGTGACTGACTGGCTTTTTTTTTCTTCTTTGGTAATAACATACATGAAAAGAGTTGTAAAGGGTACATGAGCATTTGTCTACATCAATAACCCACTTCTTGTGATGGCCAAGATTAAACTGATTCAATCTTTGCGCAGCGTAAAACGTATGACCATTCGGTACAATTGTCTGAAAGTCAAGACTATTACTTTTGGGCTCTATAGCCCTAAAGTCGATTTGACAACTAATAGTCGTTATTTTCCCACTTGAAGAATTTTCAAGCCCCACCTTTTTTAGGAAAGTTCTAAATTAGTATTATCTTTTAAATGCAGTTGGAATTTATCTTTTTCATTTTTTGGCCTGCAAATGGGACATAGTACCTTTAATGCCGAAAAGATCTATTTCCTTCCTAGGGGGGGGGGGGGGGTCTGATTTCGCCCCATCAATCCCCGTAACTCTACCGGCTTAGTAAGGGTTCAAGGCTTCAGACCGAGACTAAAATGAGAACGCTTTTATGAATACGAGCAATCATTTCTTTATTTTAAAATCCCGTAAAATGAGAAAGATTAATTATTATCTTACTCATATGTGCCACGGTGAACAAAGCGGAACCGGTGAGATGCAACCAGAGTGAAAACGATGAGAACTAGGAGTGCAAGAGCGCCCCCAGCGATGATTGCGTACATAAAGAAGGGAGTTGGCATCGTGTCTCGAAGCTCCTGCCTTTGAATGTTACCGCTACCCCTCTCAGTTAGGTTCACTTCAAAGTTGTCTACAAAGAAAGGAAAAGGAACAGTAAAAACATTTATTTAACATTTCAAGAAATAGAAGTCGTTCCGAGGCACGTTTACATAGCGACTCCATTGATGGTGATGTGCGATATAGAAATTAACTTTGTTTTCATTATTAGTATCATTATCATCACCATCATTCGTATCGTTATTGCTGCGTGGTCATAGAGACATTATGATACGGGATATCATCCTACATGTAAAGAGTGACAGGTGGTCAAAACTGATATCAATAAAGAGGTAATGTTTGATCTTTATTTCATGCTCAATCTGAGTCAGCTCAAGGGTATACAAATGTGCCTTCAGTCTTTTTTTGTTTGGGTGGTGACAAAAATCTATAAATGCTCATGCTCGTTAATAACAGAAAAAATAAAAATTGAAACCATAATTGTTTGACAGTTCTAAGGTTTATATGTCGTAGAATTATGTAGGAAGTAGATAAGCTCTTTAAAACCTAATTTCAGCACATTGCCTGAGGTTGGGGGAAACCGTTCTTTCACCCTTGAAGTTGGGTTTCCATCGCTGTTGGCGGTTTGGTTTTTTTTGTTTAGTAAAAAGGCAACCTGCACCCCTTCCCGAACAAGCTCATAGCCAGGGGAAATTGGAATGTTAACTAACTTGAACACCGTGTGGATGTGGATGAAATATGAGGTTAAAGGGGAACGGGATTTTAATTAGCATGCACTAGATTGTCTAGATCCCATACAAGAGTTTTCTGAAGGCAAACTTTGATTAGGTGAAGACAGCGAATCAGTCTCACACAGTCACACTTGTGTTTCCTCTAAGTAGGCCTCTGCTATAAACATATTAATATGTGACGCACTGAAAAAAATTGCAAGTGAAAGTTTGTTGCATTAAAGGAAAGAAAAGAACTTACCTATACATGCACCTGTAGCTGGTTCACAATTTCCATCTAAACCACATTCACATTGATGTTTACAGCCTGAACCAAAGTAACCTCTCGGACATGACTTCTGACATCTGTAATTAGAAGGAAAAAAAGAAGACAAAACCAAAGGGAATTAAGAATTATAAATAAATGTAAAGGACCCAACGATTTTCCATCGATATGCATTGCTATTTGTGATTTATAAATAAAAACAAGGTGAGAACAAAAGTCTGGCGATAAAAGAGCTAAACTTTGGCTAATTGTGTTCATCAACCATCAACCGTCATTAATGGCCAACTTAAGAAAGAAATACATTCCCTATTTAGTAAGTTGTGGCAAGAAAGAAGTAATCATAATCATGGCTGTTTGAAATAAAGCAGTTCTTGATATGTCATGATGAAATATGATACATTGCCCTTCGTTTTATTTTATGATTTACGAGGAGAGAAAGTTGGGTAAAATCGTGGATGAATCCATTTGGGAAACTTTGAGAGGATGTCGAGTCTAGACTTTGTTTCTGTTAAATCATTCAGGTGATTAAAGTAAAACATTTCACACATAAATGCCACTCATCGCTTCCTTGAAATCTAATTTAGGTCAGACCGCAAGAAAAATATGAATGTTGAGAAAAAATATAATTCACATTTAAGAAAGCCCCCCTGAAAACAATATGATTCAAAACAGAAGCTCAGTCAACAAAAAAGTAAAGAATGAAAATAACCTGCGTAATAACATAAAATGTTTATTCCAGACGAAACAAGAGGGTCTAAAGGGTGTGAATGTTTTTATCTCCAAGGTTCCTTTATGCAATTTTGTGTTTTAAACTCAAAGTCTTGGCTGTAACTGCTGTGATTTATTTAAATTTACATTTTGGGGGCACGGACAGCCAACGATAATGTTTTTTCTTTAATATGTGAAATAGTCTTTGTAAAAGCAGTAACACCTTGTAATATCATCTTTGTTTGTGTTCTACAAAGATTTTGTAACGACACCGTTAGGCACACTATCTCAGGCTAGCCACATTGATAGCACTGAACTGTCCATAAGGGTACCAGTCTCTCAACAACCCGTGCTGGTACACAAGGGAGTAGGTCTATAGGAAGTTTGAAGGTTCATGTTCCGATCAACAGGAAAACAACATCACGCCAGACATTATCGATGTTGAAATATTACCCCCAAGATGTCTCCATCGGTCTTTCTCATGCAGACCCTTCAAATCAGGTTGTCCACCTCTAAACGTTAGGACCAAAATAATTTCAGTGGCTTTGGGCTAAACTTCAAAACACACTTGTTGGTCAGCATCTTTTGCTCGTATTAGAAAGAAGGTACCCTTGCACCCATGCCTTAATTTAGAATACCCGTTCATTTGATTAGGAGCAACATTGCCAGAATATAGTTCTTATCAAAGCAACTAAGAAGGATGGTATAACCATTTTCTTTACGTGTATAGCGGCCTGGTCACTTCGGAACCTCAAGGTCTTCTATTGTGGCAAGAAGGCTTCCCCCATTAATAATGTTAACAATGAAAAATGTATAGTTATTTTATCCTTGTAAAATGCAGTCAAAACAGGATGCAAACATATCCTAACAAGTCATAATGAAACCGAAAGTCCCCATAAACGACATATTTTGCTCTAAGAAGATAATTGCAGACTGTTATTAAACTATTTGTTTTCATACGATAAGGAGTGCCTCTCAATATCAGCCAGACGTAAATATTTTGGTCAAACTTACCTCTTTCCAATATATCCAGGTGAGCAGACACAGCTCCCCGTCACGTGATGACAAACACCGCCATGTTGGCAACTCGGGCACTTCCGCGTACAACCCGGTCCATGCCATCCACTCGAACAGGTTACGTTGCAGTGTTGCCCCTGCCAACCGTGTTTACAAAGACATCCTACCACAGGGTCGCATGTCCCATGGTGGCATCTACACTCCTCAAGGCAATCTTTGCCAAATAAACCTTCTGTGCAGGACTCGTTGCAGAATGTTCCTGTCCAGCCATCTGGACACTTGCATCCAGAAACGTGATGGCACGTGGCGTTGTTATGACAGGTGCATCTCTCCTCACACTGATCCCCAAAGAAGCCCTCTGGACACTTGTCCTTGCAATCCCGGCCCAACCATCCAGACTCACAAACACATCCAAATTCTGGGTGACATTCACCATTCTCTCCACAATTACATTTCTGAGAACAGTCTGTCCCATATGACCCGACAGGGCATCTATTGTCGCACCGACTACCGATCCAACCAGGAGGACATACGCATCCGATAACATGATGACAATGTCCACCATTTTGGCAGTCACACATCTCCTGGCAATTGACTCCAAAGGTACCTTCCACACAGGGCTCATTGCACTGTTGCCCTTGCCACCCGGATTTACACACACAACCGAGAATAGGGTCACAGTCACCTCCATTTTCACAAGTGCAAACATTTAAACAGTTCAACCCATAATATCCTTCTGGACATGTTTCATTGCAGTTTAATCCTGTCCATCCTGCAGAACAAACGCAATGTCCTGAGATAGAGTCGCATGTTGCTTCGTTGAAGCAAGAACAGGCTTCTTTGCAGTTCATACCATAATAGCCAATTGGGCATGATTCTTCACAGTACTTTCCAGTCCAACCCGGTTGACATTTACAAGATCCGTTGACCGGATCACATGCCCCATCATGTTCACACCTGCAACTCTCTGAGCAAAACACTCCAAATGTTTTCAAAGGACATTGTTCACTACATTGGACACCCGTCCAACCCGGACTGCAAATACATGTACCATCTCCGGAAAGACATGTGGCACCATTTGTGCACCTGCATTCCTCTATGCAACCTATTCCAAACCGTCCGTCTGGACAGGGTGCATCACAATGTTCTCCAAACCATCCCGATGTACAACTGCAGAAACCGTTCACATGGTCACATTTTGCACCATTCTTGCACGAGCACTCCGTCATGCACCCTTGTCCGAAGAATCTCGAATTGCATTGGAACTCACAGTCACTGCCGACGTATCCCGGTAAGCAAGTGCAGGAACCACTGACATGATGACACGACGCACCATTTAAACACGAACATTCGTCTGCACAAGATTGTCCAAATGTGCCATCGGGGCAGATCCTGTCACAAAACTCCCCGTGAAATCCTTCAAGACACGAACAAGAGCCATTCACTGAGTCACAAGCAGCTCCATTTTGACACTGACAAACCTCTAAACAGCCATCACCATATCGTCCTTTCTCACATGGATACTGACACCATTTTCCAGTCCAGCCAGGTTCGCACTGGCAAGTGCCATACTTTGGATCACAACCGGTTGCGTGCAGACACTCGCATTCTTGACTGCACTCGTGGCCGAAAGTTCCTGCAGAACAAGTCATGTTGCATCCAGGACCGGTCAACCCTGATGGACATCCACATTCTCCGGTTACGTGGTTACACCGTGCATCGTGTTCGCATGAGCATGTCATCCTGCATGCATGTCCGTGGAAACCTTCTTCACAAACCTGGTTACAAGTCTCACCCACCCAACCAGGTAAGCATTCGCATGTTCCGTCCACTGAGTTGCAACTTCCTCCATTCAAACACAAACAGCTACTTCTACAATCCCTTCCGTAGTAACCTTCTGAGCATGGCACTTCACAACGCTCTCCTCTCCATCCTCCAAAGCAAGTGCACTCCCCTGTGATGTGGTCACACTCCCCATTCTGACAGCGACACTTATTGCCACATTCTTCGCCATAATATCCCTCTGGACACGTAAGATGGCAGAATCGTCCTGTCCAGCCTGAAGTACAGTAACACTGACCAGTCTGATGGTCACATCTTCCACCGTGTTGACACCTACAGGATCTTTTGCAACCAGGACCGTACCGTCCTGGCTCGCAGGCAATGTCACACTGCCGACCTTTCCATCCAGACCTACAGAAACAAGACCCGTCCACGTTGCTGCACCCTGCTCCATTGTCGCATATGCATTCAGTAACACAGCCCTCACCGTACCAACCCCAAGGGCACATCTGCAAACATTCCTCTCCCATCCATCCTGGGCTGCAGGTACAAGACCCATTAGTTGGGTTGCATTTCCCGTTGTGTTGACAGGTACATCGCTGAAGGCACCCTTCGCCGTAGAATCCTGGAGGACAAGGATCTCCACACCTCTCACCGGTCAAGCCTGCTGGACAGGTACAGGACGTGCCATTCAAATCAGAACAGGTCCCACCATTCATGCATTTACACCTGTAATATAGAAGAAGGAAACATTGTGGTACATAAGTATTTAACTTTTGAGTAGATTATTTTAAAATAATTCCTATGTATCAAACATTATAATGCTGCCAATCTTATAAACTTGTTTGAACCTATTATTTGATGTTATGGCAAGATGTCTAATCTTACATAAAGGTCTTAGTTGTATAGACCACTTCGAATGTTCAACAATATAGCTGTGGTCCTCCCCTCACTGTGAGAAATGTATTGGTGAAAATGTAATCATATACTTATTCATCCTTTACCCATGGCTTCAAACAAACCAAAGACAAAAATTGTAAATTTCTTTAACTCATATGATAATTCGTTTAGTTATCAATCACCCTATAACGCCTTTGAGAATTCTCTAACCATCAATTCTTGTAAGATATTGCTCAAGAATACGAGTCACGACCTTAACGAACACCGTTAGATGTCTAAATCATCTGGATATGTTTATGTCATCATGGCCATTCCTCCTCAGTGATTCACCTCCTAAACTCTGGTCTACCAGATTTGGCATCTGACTAACTACTCATCTCCAAATCATCTCAAATGAATGGCGAATGAACTGAAAATAAATCGCCGTCCTTCGGATGATTGTAATTTTCCTCAAATTTGTAGAAATGTGGAAAAACAGGACATAATTGATATCGTTTAACCACAGCAGGAACAGAAGAATTACTCGATTTGTTGGCTGTCCGACCGTGCCTGAGTGATTTGACGAAATATCCACGCACGGTGAATTTGAACTTCACACGGTGAGAGGGTGAGAGGCCATGAAGGGATGAAAAATTATTTTCTGTTTCGATAATCGTTTTTGGAGGCCGGATATACCTTAAAAATAGTTTTTTTAAATAGTTTTGGGGAAATGTTCGTTTGAGCTTTCGAGACCTTGTTATATAACCTTCTTCATTGACAGAAAAAAAAATCAGTATACCATGATGACGAAGCATACATAAGGTAATCTAAACAATCAGCTGATAACATTTGAAAGGATTTTATCAAATAGTATACTGTTTAACGTAATAGGAGTTATGCATCAAAATGAAATTTGCAAATCATCACTGATCAGAATCTGTCTAAATTCCTTGATCCCTAATTCAAAATGCGGATTTTGTTTGAGGCCCATCCGTATCCTTTGTCTGAGACTGGCGATACGCAAATATGTTTGCAGATATTATCAACAGTTTGTGGAAGGTTCCTGTTAGAAAACTGGATTTGTTTTCGCACCACAAGGTGACAAAAACTTTATAGTAGCAAATTTAGCACTCAAGTTTTCAAAATTCTGAAATAATTAATATAATTAATTGAAGAAAATGCAACAGTGAATTTGTTTTATAAGTTTTGAAGAAAAGCGAAAGGAAGAAGTATGACATGAAAGCTAGTGAAATCCTCTGGATTTTACTGAAATATGTTTACTATGACGGTGTTTTTATTTTGTCTTATCTTGTTTGTTTATATTTGTTTGTTTTTACCTAATTCCACAGTTCATACCGACGAAACCCTGTTCGCATGCGACGTCGCACGACTCGCCCATCCATCCCGGTCGACATTCACACGTCCCTGTCACGACGTCACAAGATGCTTCGTTCATACATCCGCAGACACCGGTACATCCAGCTCCGAACCGACCTCGGTCGCAGGCCTGTTCACATTGTGCACCCTGTAATCCAGGTGGACAGGTGCAGGCGCCGTTCACATTGTTACAGTTGGTATTTTCGGGACAGCTACAGACCTTTGCACATCTACGACCCCATGTACCTGACCCGCACGCTGTTTGAGAAAAGAGATGAGAAGGTAAAAAAACGATTAGTTTGTCAGAAAATATGTAAAGACGCAGCCCTCTAAAGACGCAGCCCTCTCAAGACGAAGCCATTTACCATTTTATGATAATTTTTATTAAAAGTAACATGAAGTGAGGAGACCCATAACTATAAATAGAGAGAGAGAGAAAGAGAGAGAGAGAGAGAGAGAGAGGGAGAGAGAAAGAGGGGGGGGGGGGGGACTGATCAAGATGATTAATTGCATTTCATGATGTATAAATGATTTTTTTTAAATTCATAAATCATACATTTCCTAGAACAGTATTTGAACAACCAACATTTGCAGCGTCCCACGAAAGGAAATCTGATATATATACATATCCTCCACCGTGTTCTTGAGGCATAATCATATTTGTGAGTTTGTCGCTACACGGCAAACACCTGTACTCTTCGTAAAGAATCCCGTCCAGATTCCAGACGTTTTTATTTCAGTCACATTTATCTCGACGCCATCTGTGTCAACCTGTCGGTGGAGTAATTAAAAGCGTAGCTCTGATTGACTCCGTGAAAGTGCAAGGTGACCCGATGATCACTACGCACTGTGTTCAGTCGGAAAGCATCAATTGGCAACGCTAATTTGACCACGCCCATCTGGAGCATAAACAAGTTCATTAGTACATTATACCCGAGTAGTTGTTGAATGAGCTAGAGGGAACCACTAAAAGGGGGAAGAATGATTGGATTTAGTTTAGCTAGAATTCTGTCGGTGAAGAGTGTAAGTCTACCCTAAGAAATTAAGTGCATTAAAGAAGGATTAGATTGGGGAAGTGTTTTCGGCGCGGAAATGTTTCTGGCAATGACATAAGGAAATTAACTTCATAGATAGACTTCAGAAGTAATGATTATAACGAACGGCATCGTATGAAAGATTGTCTACCATGGTAAAAGCATATATTTGATGGGATTTTGCCTTCAGGATAGTTTATCTTTAATTTTGGCTGTTAATTACTTCATAAAAAACATGCAAGAGGGACCATACGAAATATAGCCGTGTGCAAAAGCAGCTGTAAACCACGACAGAAGAAAAAGAAGTACAAGAAGTAATTTGAAAATTCTTGAACAATCACGCTGAATGAGATGAGGGCATTTCACAACGTAATAAATCAAACAAACGAGCCTAGTTCCATGGTTTTTCGTTCCTTGAAACGCACCAGGAATTGTTTTTGAATCCATCTATACATTCCTTAGCATTATTCATCCAGATTAAAACCCACTGACCTCACTGTCACCCTCGTCTGCGCTTAATATATCTGCAGGTCTTCACAATTTGTCGGTTCCATTTTCTCCCATGACACACCGATTAGGATTGACAGGAGCTTATCTATTCTGTTTTGGGTATGAACATTTTCTAAGGATAGTGTAGCGATTAGTGACCGTATTAATATCCTACCAGTAACATGACGAACCGTGGTACACTTGTTGGAGTTTAATCCATGTCTTTTTCACCTGATTGTCTACGCGGACCTGAGTCAGAAGAACAGTATTCCTTGACCTCATCTTCTCGAAAAAACAAAAACACCATCATACTGGGACCCTAGGAAAGTACACTCTTGGTCAATCCATCAGCAATATAATCGTAAGAATAATAATGACACACAATGTACTCGAATATTACAGTTTAAACCATTAACATCACTTTCAACGCATTTTAGAGTCGTTATGGTCGTTATGTGATGTTCGAAAATGGCCTCTATGAACACTATGGCCACTAAGGTACCGGTAGCATTCCGCCCCGGCCGCCCCCATATATTAATAATTTGAAGTGAATTACAAACAAATTACGAGATTTTATATAAATCATTATCGTAAAGACATTCAAGACATTCATGATCATATTCGCACATTTCAATAGATGACCCACAAGACTTCTGACTTTGTCTTAGGTTGATTTTTCGAAAGACTTTGCGACCTTGTTTATGAGAACATCCAATATTCTGATGGAGGGTGAAATATGTCGATGGTTTGACAATGTCCAAGTTATTTTAAAACATGGAATCATCATGGAATCATCACCCAAACTTATTGTACCAATGCTTAACATCATTGCAAACAAAAATGAGCAAATCCTGCATAAGACATAGCTAGCTCGCGACCCCTGCAAAATAGTAAGACCATTGCCAACATGATGGCAATGGCTGATATCATCTCAAGTAATTTTAGTCTCTGAATATTCTCTTGTAAGTCAGTGATCAGATGGGATGAGATCTAAAGCTTCCTCACCAGGAAGTCACAATGTTTCCTTCATTCATGTTTATTACCAGTCGAGAAGGAAAGCAAAACTGACGTTGCATGGCAGTAAATGTCGTGCGCTGGACCAATCATCTTGGAACATGACCTAGGAACATAGGAGCACTGCGGATTAACTTATTAAACACTCCTTAATCAGAGTTGATTGGGGGCGCCACTCCGCGTGGAAGCATTACGCCGGAGTGCGGAAATAGAGGGAGGGGAACTGTGCGGAGGAATTTGGGGAAATGTAATGAAACATTCATATTGGGACCATTTCCAACTGAGGTTCGTATGGTCTTAATCTGGGAACGAATCAGGAAGAAGAGAGAGTCAGGGAAGTATCATCCTACAAACCTTTGACTTTGAGTACCCCCGCCTCGTAGAACTGGCGATGATTACAAACTCATGCATGCCTCAATTCAGCATTACACATTCCTCTTTGGTTAATTTGTATCCATTTAATAATTTGTAGCAGCACAGATAAACAGACTGAACCATGACAATTCCTTAGATCGAGTTTTCATTCTTAACAGCCTATTTCATAGTCAGAAATGATAATAATGGCTAAGAAGTATTCACCATTATACGGGTAGAAAGATATTCCTTCTTCGCAGCAAATATAGACCAAAGTCTACAGGAGTTCGGCCATCATTTTATCGGAGACATGTTATTTCAAATAACCATATAAAGACCTACAAGTAACATTGAATGTCATAGCTCCAGATATTGTATACCGGATGTTTGTCTGCGAAAGTTTGACAGTACCTCCTAAAATACCAAGGGGCTGACGAGGACTTCGTTAGAAAAGGGGTAGACGGAACCCCCTCTTTGCCACTGGGCGCCATCTTCGCCTTGCACTTGTTGGAATAGACGAAGAGATTAGCCACGATTTGGGTTAATGAATGGTTGACAAGTAAAAGGATTCTCTAACAGAAACCAGACACCATGTTTTCGACGAGAGGCAATTTATTTTAGAGATAGGGAATCCCATCGAATACAGGGGAAGTACCTATTAATTAGTTTTTCCTCAACATGTTCAGTAATGGTGTCAATATGCGACATCCTTATTCTCAGACTTCTGATAATCCATTTTGATGGAGTGTTAAACTCTTCACTGACTGCTCAACTGTGAAATATTCAGATTTATATATTTAAAAATTGAAATATTGATGATAGAATGTTACCTAAATGCTAAAACAATTAAGTACTTTCAGGTATAGCAGCAAAAGGGACCGATTGCATAAAATTCTATCTGTGGGACTTGATAGGAAGGGTTATTGCCTTACCAAATTTCACTAGGACATCAACTTGGTTTCTAGACCACTGCTCTATCGCTGAGCCATAATTTATGTAAGATAATTCGTAAGTATCCACTGTTGACGAAAACTGTTAAAGGGATCCGGTAACTTTGTCTCAGATTCTGAAACAAAATTCTGGATTTAGCTCATGATGCAATGATAATTATAAACCTTTAGGTCAGTCAGGAGCCCCATGACTTTTACAAGCCGATCGCCTGTCTGATTATCAAGATATTTATGATTGGAATTACAAATTTTAAAAACCGTTCGCCTGACGGTTTTCATAACACTACAGTCTATTGGGGAAAACGAGTATGGTAAAACCGGTCACTCAAAGATTTTTACTTTTTTGAGGCACTTCTTGATCATTTTGAAGCGCAATTTTTTTAGGGCTTCAATATTTATACACCATATCACAGACACTGATAATACTTAAGGCCGTGTATCTCAGATTTAACATTGTTAAACGATCCCTTTAAACTCGCCTTCTAGGTATTGGGACCCATATCATGACGATATCATGACGTATTATTATCACCCACATTGTTGATCACAAACATGATTTATTGTTAATATCACTTTGTAACGTGAGAAAGGCAATGTTGTGAAGTTATTTGTAAACATGCCCAACAATAATACCTAAATGTAACGCAAAACCCTTAATGACCATTGATTACAAACCTCAAAGTAATACTAGATGTAATCCAGAGTCAACATCTGAAAAACACTTTGACGGGAAATGCTATTCCCATGACAAAGGCTTAACATTATTATGAGATGATTAACGTAAAAGAGATAGCACGCTTCCTGCCAGAATATTTTGACCACCAAGAAAGAAATCAAAGGCAATAACCTTGAGGGGAAAATGACAAAATGTTGTCATACAACCGACAACAATTGAGCACGAGGATCAAAACTTCAACAACTTTTAGAAATGTTATGCTACACAATCTGACTTTGTAATATGAGGAAGATTGTGTGTAATGTGTCCCGTCCGTCTGATATAGTGCGTTATCAAAGATTTAAAATATCTTTGATGTAACAACGTTGACCAATGGGTCGTTTTTTAGTATCATTACCATTAGTAAATGGCCAATCAGAAGATAGCAGTAACATTAAGTGCCTATAACAATGTAGCTATGTATCTATAATTCTGCTATTTAAAACGTTTGAAGTTTTGCAGCTTTTTCAGAAAATATTGATTCTTAAATTATCTGGAACTTAAAGTTACACTTATCAAGTTCGAAATCCACTTCAAATGATGTGTAGACCCATTCTAATATCGTCGGTTGTCTAAAAAGGAGGCCGTAAGAGCCATGTATTTTCAATTGCAGTAACGGTCTTCTTGCAGACAGTTGACGATATTCTCCATCATAATGGCGTCAGTTTCTTGCGGTCATCCATACGCAAATGCGGGTGATCACGTGATTCGGGAAGTCTGACCGTATCTCGGACATCTAGCGCCACCCACATTAAGATGTAAGGCCACATCTGATCACATCATGGCCACATTCCCGCCTTTCTTGAATCATGTTTTAATCTTATCTGAACAGTCGGCGGGGATGAGAGGAGGGAGAACGCTCTTTCTTTTAAGGTGAGATTAAGTTAACACGATGCAGAGACTTTCAAAAAAATCAACCAAAGGCTATTTCAAGAGCCTTGCGTAATGTATGAAAATTGCAAGGACACATTGCGTAAACCGAACACGATTTGCAATGAAATCGATAGGTTGGTTTCATTGGAAAAAATAGCGATCGTGTTTCGTATAGGCCTAGTACTATTCAGACAAGACATAAGTACTCTCGACTTTACATACACGGTCACTTTGGATGCTGGACGACCTTTCATCATGATAAACATGATTGAATTGTGCGAAGTGGACCTACACAACATGAAATGCCCAAGGAACACTTGCAAATACTCGGCTAGATAGTATTGAACAAGATATCTTCAGTGGTCCAGCGAAGATATGAAAGCTCTCTTCTGATAAAGGCGGGAAACCGAAAAGGAAAGTACTGCTCTGGTGTGCATCAAAGAAACCCGTTATTTCAAGAATGCAGATAAGGGTATAGTTCAATGAGGTAATCATTCTACAATGCCATGTGCTATGATTGCAAAACCCTATTACAGTTTACTCCATACCATCGTTGGACCAACACACAATCTCAAGAACGAGATTTTAATACATCCAATGCCTGATGATTATGGAACGTTATACCATGGAGTAGTGAGTCAAAAACTAATAGTCATTTTCACTGAAAACCCATCACTATAGCCACGTCAACCGTGAGCAGCCAAAGAAAAAAAAAACTCGTAAAAACTAAAAATGATTATGATGACGATAATGATACAATGGCATGACAACTTAAAAAGTCGCTCTGTAAAACAACAATCTTTCGAAAAATAATTCTTGTCTCGTTATTTAAAATTAATGCAAGTACATGGTATAAAGATCTGCAAGTTACCCTGCACACAACATCTGGGTTTTCATTTACATTCTGAAGTATGTCCAGCCTATACATAAGGTTCAGATAAGCACAACCTATAATTGGCGTCATTAGTCATTATCAATAATCGATTGCTTATGACTGTGTGACCACGATATGACTTCTTATATCAGGAAAGAGATTTCATCATTAATTGTTTCTCATTAAACTATCAAATATAGATTATACGACTAAGTAATATGGCAGATAGTGGTTTAAGTAGCTAGAGTAGGAGTCATAATTATTGAGAAGGAATGCGGCTTGAAACATTTCACAGGCCTGGGGTGACTTTCTTTCAATTGAGAGTTGACAGATGATGGTTGATGTCTTCTTCTCGCTAAATGCTTTCTTAGCAGTCAGGTAAAACAAAACAAGCAAACTAACTAAATGTATTATCTTAACGAGGATAGGAATGGAAACAACATGGACGAAACCAGTGTGAGAAAGTTTACTTTGATCATTGATGAAAGGAAGTATTAAGAGAATATGAAAAGGGATAGATGAATATGTTTGAATAAATAATAAGAAAGAATCTTACGTAACAGTATGAATGAAATAGACTTACGTTCTGGGCATTCATTGCCTATCTGTCTCCATCCCGGGCAGCAATCCAGAACAACCTCACTTTGTCCTGTTGAACTCTCCTGCCTGTTAAATTATACAAATCAAAGGTTCAAATGTTTAACTTCCGGAATATAACAATCATGGCTCTCCTTCTGTTTTTGTACATTTGTCAGTATTAAGCATCTCACTGTTTTCCCCTTTTAACTGGATATTACACTCTTCATAATTTTGTTGTTGTTGTTTTTAATATACAAACCTCAGTAAAAAAATAATAAGCGGCAAAGTAGTTTGTATTACACGATACTAAAATATCTTATGAAAATATAAAGATAATCTATGATAGAAAGTTAAACATGTGATCCTTTATTCAACGTTAGGAAAAAATAAAATTTTCGAATATTTCTTTTGCAGTATTTAGAATAATGCAATCCCAGTAAAACCTCATTCAGAAAAAACTGCTTTTTCATAATATGAATATCATTATAGTTTGTCCATTACTTCCTCTTTTCTTACTCATATTTGATAGACAGAATAAAGATGACCACCAACAGCTCATAGCATTAAATGAAAATACAAGGATAGGTTTCGGACTGCTTTATCAAGTGCATTGATGCCAAGGCTTCATTGCTGTATCAGTCTACAGTCACGGTGTTATAATACAGGTAACACCCCCAATGACCTCTGACATTTAGACGAGATGATATCTATCGAAATACATTTTTTGAGGTTGTTTTTTGAGTCACGGATATAAACCAAGGAAGCCTGTCATTTGAATCATGTATGTCATGAGTTTGGTTATCATCATACAAACAAGTGTTAAGGAAACCACACATCAGACACAATTCAGGAATTTCAGGTAGACAGAACTATTTTCCCCAGGTCAATCCGATTGCGGTGATCATTTTAGTGGAAGTTGATTTAAATTGACCATGAACTCACATGTAAAAACGAAAGCGCAACTATAACCTTTTGTTCTTTCAGGCTGTTGTTGCATATAACTGTTTATTATGGATTAAAGTTATAGTTCGGTTTAATCGCAACTTTACTTACAGTTTTGGTTAAGCTAACTAAGAAAGGGCTTCGTCGGATTCCTATGATTTTTAGTTGATGAATCACGAGATTAGTCATGGCCTTTCTAAGTTTTCCGGGATTTCTCCCTGATCATGTCTATTTCTCTTTCTTTTTTTTCCCTCAATTCTCTCCCAAAGTAGACTGATAGGCAAATGAGAGGTGCAATATTTGAATCAGAAATCGTTTCTTAAGTTACCTTTTGTTTTTTTCAGCTTTTGTATTGATTATAAAATTATATACATTTTATTTGCTGAGTGGATGTATATATATATATATATCTAAATCCAGGAAAAGCATCTATGAATGTGATTACATTTTATTTATTTTTTATTATTGTACTACTCGCCTTTTATTTAAAAGGACCTTTTAACTATTACACAGGAAATGTCATGTTTCACGGCGAATATCTCAAACAAATTGGATAATTCATGCTTATTCTCGGTTTATTTTGGCCTAAATCACATTCCATATAAAGGTGTGGTATAGTATCCAATTTCCTTGACAAACTTCAACACCATTCTATTGTCATAAGTGGAATATGATACACACTTTGATAGGTATAATCGGATGATTCAGTGCCAACGAAGTAGACCAAACCCGGCCTCGGACCAGCTATATTTATCGGACATCTCTCCCGCTAAGTGGGTCTTCCTCTGTCAATAAATTTGGAGGCCTATTTTATCGTCTGTACGTATTTTTGTAAATCTGAATAAATGGTTTTCCTGCTCTAAACCCTGACTGTAGGTCTATGGTTTCACGTCAGAATCAAGGGCAAGCTAATCGCAAAAGACGGTCAATATATAGCAGGAAATGGGTATTCAAACCACGAAGGATAGGCCGACAATTCTGGGGAAATGTCATGTTGTAGATATTGTCAATTACTATATTTGAAGGAGTGGTAATTGCCACAATATCAGTCTAACCTCATATTGTAACATAATTTTTTATATAGATGAAACAATTAAAAAAATCCTTTTACTCATTCATCAAATTACGTTCACAAAGGTTTTAAAAAGTGTTTATTTACTGCATCATCAAGGTTGTAGGTATATGTTGTAATTTGTTCACTTTGACCCACCGTAATGATGACTAATGATGATAAATCGAGGGCAAATGGTAATCCATACATTTGTTAAAGTTGAATTTTTTCAATTTCTTTTCACAAGGGACTTTTGGTGTGGTTGGACAATCATATGACCTTATCGGGTTGAATATTGTCGACTGTAGTTCACACAGACATTCTTTTGGGGAGGCTCTTCTATTGTTATGTTGCACAAAGCGTGTGTTGTATTCCAATAACACGGAGCAATTTGCGAATAAAAGCGTAATATTTGATAAATAACCGCATTTTTGGACGTACAATCATTCGTTGTCCGCCGACGATGTTCACTCGAAGATGACTAATAAAAAACAAAATAAATGAAGAGGAATAATTATCATGATTATATGATAACGGGGAAAAGGGGGAATAAGAATAAGAGTTAGAGAGAGAGAGAGAGAGAGAGAGAGAGATTGGGAAGAGGTGGGGAATAAACGAATATATAGGAAAACAAACCTAGTACGTTGAGCGCAAAATGAGGGTACGATGGAGGCAAGTTAGAATTAATCTAGAGCGTAACAGTTGGAAGAAAATAAAATCAGGAGAATGGGAGGGAGAGAGAGAGAGAGAGAGAGAGAGATGGTGTGTGAGAAAGAGAGAAAGAGAGAGTGGGAGAAGGAGAAAAAAGAGTAAAAAATAGAGAGAGAGAGAGACAGACAGACAGAAAAAGACTTGTGGGCAACAAACTAGGTTAAAGTCAAGATTCTGGATCATCATAATTATAAAGATAAAGTTACCACCTAGAGACGTCAAAATTATTTAATTACCCATGAAATATCAAGGAAGGAAACCACTGTGGGTTCTGAAAGTAAGCATTCCAGACTTATGGTGTAAATGACCTTCTTCTACCCCCACGTCCTGTATAAACCATTTTAGAAAACATATACCTGAAAGTTTGTCTTAGAATGCTATCAAAGTAATAATCAAAACGTTTACTTTCAAAGTCAAGCACCTTTTGAACTTGCTTAAAATCATATAATGGCGGCCAGTCGGATAGAAAGAGGGTTTAGGTTTATGTGTCAGTTTTTTTCTTTTGTTTACATAATATATGCCAACTGGTTTGCTATGAAACATAGATTTCAATGCCCTATACGCTTTACCTTTTCAATTTGATTACTTTTAATAACCATGGGAAATATTAAGCTCATCATGAATGTAGCGAAAGACACATAATCTCATTCTTATTATCAGCGCTTCCGACAATAATATCCATGTTATTGTCCCAGGTCGATTTTTTTTTCTTCATCGCGCTTTGTTTATGTTATCAGTGGCATAAATAAAAAGAATATAGCTACAATGGTATTAACCTGTTACAATGAGAACGCACATTCCCTGTCACAGTTGCTAACATCACAGTTTGCACTTGTCGATTATGATGATCATGATGATGGCATACATGAGTATAACCTTGACAAGTTAATTCCAGTAGTTTAAAAGTTCATAAAATGGTTTTGTTCCAACATATCTAGAGAATGTGCGAAGGTGTGAGAAACAGGAAATATTTTTCAATCGGAAAGCACAATATTGTTCATCAACCAAATATCATATTTATTTACCAAATTGAAGTAATTAACAATTGCATGAATTCAATACGGAATCAATGGACCAGCAAAACTCATCCTAAATTCCCTTGAAACACTGTCAACAAAACATGCACACAGACAAAAAAAACGTTGCATTCTTTTTTGACATGACCACAAAAAGCTCGTTGTACCATTGCCAAACAATATCTGCTCATCCGCGAATTGGCACTGTATCATCGTCATAATTATGCCAATATGCTTTATAGGGAACCTGGTTTAAGGATAAACAAGTGTATTGGTGATCAAACATGTTAATAAACCTAGTTAGGCGGCAGGTAAAGTAGAACCAGGAATACTTCCTAGTCTCATTATCGTTTCCTCTGTTGAAGAGTCATTGGTTCCGTTCGTTCAAAACAAGTATTTCCCCTTATTATTCACTGTCTATATTATCGCTTAGTTTTATCAGTAAAATTGATACAATGGAAGTTGACGAGGACATCAGAGATTGCTGTCGTAAATGTCATTAAACAAATTATGTTTATTGTTTTACTTTTATCTGATTATGTCTAGCCGTGTTATTTACCGTATAAGTTGAGTAAAGGAGGAAAACTTTCATTGGGGGGGGGGGGGGGGGGGAGAAACAAAACTTTTCCAAATGAGACTTCATGAACGTTGATGTGTTGTGAGAAAACGCAATATTGACATTATTTTTTGCATAAAATTCAGACCAGATGGCATGTCGTAACTAGTTTTCCCTCAAAACTTCACATGCGTGATAAAACAATGCTTTCAGGTCTGCTCAAACGCTTTATACTTCAGGAAAGAAAAAAAAAGTCAAACTATTCAAAGATATTTCACAACACCTTTACACATTCAAATAAGGTATACATGAACATGACTTAAACCATTCGTATCATGCTAACCGTTTCTTTAACCTGTCACATGTTGTTGGCGCCATATCATTGGCACATGACTTCTCGCCCCTTTCCTACAAGATGACCAAAGGCCGGGGAGGAAAACACTGATGCGTTTCGCAGCTCTCGGTCGACCGCCGACGCGCTTCAAACTATTAGAAGAAAAAAAAAACATTGCTAGAACATGACTGGCGTGTGCGTGCTGTATGGAAATTATGAAAGCCTGGCACAGATTTACACGGGGGTGATGAGCAGCCTCTGTAATGCTGATAGATGGGGGGGGGGGGGGGGGGGGGGGGGAGATGGGGTGTTAAATTTATGAAGGCCCATGGAACAAAAACACATTATTGTACGTGTAGGTCTGTATTGTTATTTTTCCATATGATATGTATGGGCGTCGCGATGATAACAACACTTACATCAGATTAAATATCTGTAATACAATATCACATTTGAATTGACCGATACATTTACCAG